AAAATTCATTCATTTAATGAACGTAACATTTATCGTTTGTTAAAATAATAACATTTACGATATTATACATGAAGAAGTAGCTAATGAAATGTTAATAAGTAATATGATAGGACAACATCTCCATTTACTAAAAGACGAGGAACTTAATCACCTTGCTCATGATGTAAACGATGTTTCACATTAAACAATTTAACGAAAACCTATTAAAATATCATAAATTGCTACTTTATACCAGCCTACTGAATCCAATAAATTCATTAAGGACACCAATATAATGACGACGGAACACGAAAAATGAACAAGCTCGTCCATGAAAACACAATGTCATTATTTGCCTCGAAACATTAAACTAACGCAGAGGCAATTTTTCTTTCCACGTCTTACTTAATCCAGTAGTTCGACCGGCTCCCAACGCCCCCTGCCGGGAATCGCGGCTACACGCGCAAATAAAATGCTAATTTGCCAAGTAAAATCTGTTTTGATTAAATTTAAAGTAGACAAGACAGATTTTTTCCTTTACGGCTTAGGGCCGGTTCTATAATTGATTCTTGGTCGCATTAATAAACGATTTAATTAGCAAAACAGCACGCAACCCGTTTAATGAAACGGAAAACCCAAGTCGTACATTTGCCGCCACGACACGCAGCGCAGCGGCGAGTAGGGGAACTAAATTTAAAAAACAACCCCTTTTACTCAGTGCTGCCACCCCTAATGTGAAAGTTTACGAACCTTTTTTCATCTTAAAAGTTCTGCTATTGCCCGCTAGGTGGCGGCGACACTGCGCGTCCCGAAGCATTCGTTTCTCGGCATAAGCATGTGTGCGTGAGAGAGCGAGACCGCGAGAGAAAAATAAAAAAGGAGTAAAATAGACAGCAATATGTGTGTATACAAAGGCGTGGTTACGTGCATGCAAGCATTTTTTTTATCGCAAAAATGGCCGGAACTTTACACATTTCGCATTAGACCATAAAGTCGCAACTGCATTAGCCACGGTAGAGCTTGAACTTTATGCGGTGTACATAAGGTTGAAAATCAAATATTACATTTTTTAAAATTGCGTTTAGACTCTAGAATGTGGCAAAATAATTGGCGTCACCGGCGTCGCGGCGTCACTAGAAAGAGAGGATATAACGTAGCTAGCGTCGCGTCTGAGCAGTGCCTACCGTCGACCGTTAGAACGAGGGGGATGGCTAGTTGGCGAACGTGCCCGTTAGACAGAGACGTCGCGAAAAAAATGTCCGAAAAAAGCTGTTTTCATTAAAGGTGCGCGCCGCGATAGAAATTACAGAAACATGGGCGCGGTTTAAAAAATGTCAGGGGCGCCTGCGCCCTCGGTAAAAAGCCGGTGCGGAAGTAAAGGGGGAAAGAGACGTTAGTGGGCATTATGTGACGAGTTGCAGTGGTGAAGCGCGCCGCGAGCGGTCGCCACTGGCGCGCACCAACAAAAACAACAACCGCTAATTATTGCGATTAATAAGCGAATGCGGTTCGCGTGCACGCCGGCCTAAACAGTGACAGCCCGTCCAACGAAATGAATACCAAACGTGTGCTCTAGTGTTTGTTCAAAGTTAAAAAAATATATATTTAAAAAGGTAAATATTCGGTCAAAATACTTGGAAAACAACGTCGAAAATTTGAGTGAGGGCGATGTGTGGCGATGTCGTGTTGTTTGTTCGATATCGACTGCAGCGATGACTGTGCCGTTTTCCCGCTAAAACTGGTAATGATCGCACTCGAAACCGCGCTTTTTCGTGTGTCCGTTGTTGATCAGTGAAAATTGGTTCGAATAACTGTGAGACTGTTAACAAGTAAACTGAGAATACAACGTTGCTTATTGTATGGATACGTAAGGAAAATATGAACTACAGATTGTGTAGGTAATGATACAGGCTAAATGCTGCCCGGTAGAGCAGGATGCGTTACAGTTTGTATAGGTAAATAAATTGTCATAAACTAAACAAGATTATCACATCACAAGAATATTTGCCGGCCACATTTTCACTCAGTGTGTTAAATGCCAAAATAGACACCAGTCTACATGAAAATGTCGTCTGAATACAAAATGCATGTTTTACGAAACTTCGTTGGACGCAGACATTTTATTTACATGCACTTAACTTAGTGAAACTCTAAAGTAAATAATACAAGATAGCGTAAAATGCTATCTAATAATGTCTAGAGTGGAGTTTTCTTACAAAGTAAGTACATTAACAACTAATGTTATCTACTCACGCCATTAGGTAAATTAAACGCACGAAAAATGTTTTCGAACACCCTATATCGCGAAAATTTTAATTTAAAAAACTCTGAAATAGTGTAGGAAAATTTTATGCACAAAATTATTTTTTTCGAACATCCTATATCGTAAAAAAACACATTAGAAAACTTTGGAAATGTGTAAAAATAACGTTAGAAATTTTCTATAAAATAGTGTAGACCGCTTACGTGTATCACAAATACCTGTTCTAAAATATAACAGTTACTTTTAGTATTAGTGCATAATTTAAGAAAGTTTAAAGAAAGTATTTTTTTATCTGCTTCGTTATCGTAGGTATGAAAGATTAATACTACGTCTATCACAAATGTCATTATCATGAGATATCTTCAAAGATACGATGTCAGGTGAGAAGTGATATAATCGTTTATTTTTATAAATCTCTTTGGTGTGTTGATATAAAATATTAACATGTAGAGACGTACCTACTTATATTGTGAGATATATTATAAAAAGTGAGAAAAACTGTTCCAAGTTTTATTTTATTTTTCTTTTTGCGGTGAATCTTTTTTACTATTAATTTAATCTATATTAGAAACAAATACTTATTTATTATTTTCTTATGGAATATGTTGGCAAATTGTACCTACTTCAAGTCGTAATAAACAAAGTCTATTTTGTTCAACGTCTAAAACTTCATTCTATTGACATGTTTTTATTAAAAATCTCAAATTTTTCATATAGGTACGTATTTCATCTCTTTTTTTAATATTCGAAATTTCATTTGATTTTTTTCGAAGTGTGTTATGTTACAAGTGTAGAGTTACAAAATAAGTGACTTTAGTTTTGTAGTGCATAATTCAGTTAAAAAACTTATTAGCCCCATTTAATAAAATGTAAATTTAAAAAAACTAATAAGTTTTTTATACATTTGTCATGAAAATGTAAAGTCCTATAAAATTTGGATCTTTTCAACCTAGAAGGAACTGAAAAATTATAGAAGATAGAATAAGAAAGCATTATATACATTGGCCAAAAGGTCTGTAACAGAACTGCAAAACAATTAGAACGACATTAAAATATGTCTATTAAAGCATACAGAATAAAATTATGTGCATAGAAAACAGTTCAATGCATCATTTCAAAGCCAAGTTGCAGTCTTATCAAGATCATTATAAAAAATAAGAACTCTAACCAGTTCTTCATCTAGTTTATTTCCTTATTCTAACCTGTTTTATCACTTGGCATTTATTTGAATGCACCTTGCAGCAGTATATAAATGTTTGACCGACAGCTCCATGTATGAGCAATAGCAGTCTTTGTTTAGACGTCAAATATTTTCCTGATTAATGGAACAAACATTCAGGCTGTTAGCTGATTGCCTACCATTAGAAAACATGCTCAGTTATAAACGTATAAGCTTGATTAGTCAACTTTCTTCCAAATGTATACTTAACTGTACTAATTAGGTTTATTACTCCCAAACCGTAAGGGACACGACCTGGCCAGAGAAACTCAGAGACTGTATAATAAATTACCCATAACACCTGTGTCCACAATCTACGATGTAAACTAAATCATTCTTAATTTTCTATAACCGAATATTCAAGTTTTTAAATCACCCAGATAAAACCAGTCGAATAAAATAAATGATAAAGCTGGCTGGCTGGACGAAACTACACTCCGAATGCCCTCTAACCAATAGAAATTCGTAAATTTGAATTTTGAATTGCGAACGTGGGCTCGCGTGTGGGTGTTTGTACTCCTTTTACCAACTGTGTAAACGATTTTCTCTCTCGATTCGATAATCAAATTTTATTCGTCATAACAACGTTGAGGAGGTAACACGAATGAGGTCTTTAAACTCGTCATTTCCATAGCATACGCCTCTAAAGTTTGATTTATAAAAATGTGCTTGTGGAGTTTTATTGCGAGTTATTTTTTTGTGTGATTCTCAACTTTGAGGTGTCGATGTCTAATTTATTTTTCAAAGTCTTTGCTGGTTAATAAACTCAAAATTTTGAAATTGCGTCTGTGGTCAGTTTCAGTCGTTTGACCGTAGACGTAGTGGTTAGAATACTTCTAAGTTGTTTTTTATCGCAATTTATGGTTAACCATGCTGAAAAACATGAATAGTAAATTTCATTTTAACGTTGACAATAGTTTTGTTTATTAACCTCTCAGGTAGAAATATTCGATGTTGAATAAATTAAACTGGCAATGTTCACTGATCCGTGAATACGTGTCAATTAATAAATTTTCAATGTCAGAAGAGTTCGATCGTTTAAGCCACATGGCGTGTCTTGTGGATATCATTTGTCAGAATTAAAGAGAATGAAACAGAGCCTTCTTTATAAAATTTTCAAGACTGCTCCTCTTGGCTACGTGTACTTACAAAGTCTGACACTATGCCACTTATGCCTATTGCATCGCCCCGCGTTTAAAGACACACATGCGTTACGCGGCTCAACTACCGATGATCTCCCGTCTCTCTCGATCCCATAGTACCCATAGCGCGGTCTCTGTCTACACGCACGAACTGATGTCGGTCGCACGTCGCGGTTCGGTCATCACATCCCTCGGCTCCTATAGCTATCGCATAGGAGCTAGATTGGCGCGTCGCGTATTCAAAATAGGAACGTTAGTAATGGAGTGGTATACGGTGGGGTGGATGTGTGCGTGCGAGAGAGCCCGCGACCCTCCCCCGCGCGTCCGCCCCCGCGTGCGACGCCAGTAGAGCGAGTGGCGCGCGTTTACACAATCCGTTGGTTCGGAGCGCGGCCGACACTCGCGTTGGATGCGTGCCTTCTTCTTGTGACGACGATCGACGCGCGAACACGTATCGTCAATTGTTTTTTTTTTATAACATCTTGGAACTCATACGAGTTCAGCGCTCCCTAAGCGGTTTTGGAACTTCTTATAAGATTTCCAAGTTCCAACATTATCATAAAATATTTTAACAATTTATCATTTAAAACTTCAAACATTTAGTGCGGCTACCATAGTGATTGGAATAATGAAGAAAGACATTTTCATTTTAAATGAAAATTTTTTGAAGTTTTTTTTAATAGAAAATTTCAATGAAAATAGAAGAACTTTACATAATATTGTGGATTAAAAAAATACGAAGTGACGATTAGTGGTACAGTGTCAATGGAGCATCAGGCGCAAAATAAAATAGTGCCAACGAGAAAAATAAAAATAAAATTTAGATTTTTTCAACGTCAACACTAATAGGTGAGTTTAATTTTGACTACATTATAAAAGGTTTTTTAATAGGTGTTTAGGTTCAAAATAATAGTGACTACGTTTTCAAGAAAAGTTTCCGACGGAGAACACAAACTTAAAACATAAATTAAATTTCTTCGCACGTTTAAAAAAATCGTATGGAATTTACAAATTTCGAATAAAAGTCAAAAAGTTGCCCACAATAAAAAAGTGGCACAATAAAAAGACGTTCACTTTAATCGCCACCGCACGCAGCCAGTTTTTTGTAAACTTTTTTTGTCCAAACTTGTAACAAAAAATGGGCCGATGTTTTTATAAATGAATTACATCGACCGTAAAAAACAACTATCAAATAGTAATTGTTAGCTTGGTAACATTTTTATCAACAGACAATTTATGAAAATAACTTCACTTAATTCTGTTTCCGAAAATGAAATTAATTTGTCATTTACCTTTCCAGTTTTTTATAAATAAAATTATGACTGTAGTATTTAAATGTTTAAAAATAAAGTTTAATGTTTTTTTTTTTATTTTAAATAGTACGTAGTAAATGCAAAAAACACTATTGGTACTTATCAACTCGCTTAGCAACAGTCAATGTTGGTGATAAAAGCAGTCACATGTTTTATCACTCAACGGCGATTTAACATACCTACCAATCCCTTATCGAGTGCAAATAAAGGACAAAAATACGCAAAGGAAAAAAAACACCGAACATTGACGCGCTGCAACTGAAAAAACAAAAAAAAGTATTAATATCAAACTAAAAAAAAAATTTTTAATTTTTACTTTTTCTAGCTCAGTTGCTATGCAGTGTGTTATGGCTTGTTATCTAAAAAAAATAAAAATAGAACACATACATACATATAACATTATTATCAAATAAATAATCGCGAGGTCTTACGTAATCGACTGCCCCTATTATCTCCTTCACCTTTTAACTTATCGACATGTTTTTGCCAAAAGGTGATTTTTCATTCTCGTGTAGACTATAAATTCTGAACTTACTGACTCTGTATGTTATGATATTCATTCTAATTTTAAACGTTCAGGCGTCAGACATATTGTGTTATGTTTGTTGTTTCATGTTATACAACACAATGTCGTTGTCGTACCTTATCTGCGTTGCTATGGCAGATTGTCATAAACAACTAAAAGTTTAATTAGTTCATGTATTTTTAATTTTATCCGTAAATAACATGTTGATAAATATAATAAGACATATTTCCGATTGGAACATCCTGTATTGTATATTTTATTAATAATTTATTACAATAGTGATGTGCAATTACAACGGCCTGAAAAAGTAACCTGTGAAAATATTAGGAATATAATTAAGTACCAAAATAACAGTTATACCAACTATTTAGGTAATTGTAGTTGTAACAAAAATAACGATATTGTGTATATGTGTCAGACGGAACTCCAAAAAAATTTCTTCGCTAATTTAAAAAGTTAACGGACTTCAACACTTTCACCGACCAAAAACGGATAATGAGTGTTGCAATGTTTTGGTTACAGTACGAAGTTGAATGTGGTATTCAAGTTATTTTTTAATTCGTGATCACAGTATAGCTCCGAGATATGCAATCGTACGCCCACACTTATACCTATGTTTTTATCTCAACATAACGTTGTATGTTGCACGAAAAATACAGGCTATTATAAAATTGTAAACGCGGAATTATTAATTTAATTTAGCCGTGGGGCTAAGTTTAAAAAATCGGCCTGAAGGTTTATCGTGACTCGGTTTTGGTCGGAGATGAAGTAAGCTAGTTATCTCAGCGTGTTTTTGTGGCTTGATTTTAGAATTTACTACATGCGTTTTCTGGGAGAACGGTAAATGATTGATGTGTGCGCGCTAATAACAACTTTCCGTAGAGTAACGCACTCGTTGCTGCATTCTCGGACTTACACAACATAAAACATTATGTTCAACACAACAGAAACGCTTTACATTTGCAACTTTTTTCTTTACGATTTAACAATCGTTAATTAGACAATTTATCTTAAAGCCAGACGTCGTAATTGGTGTACTTACGTTAAATCGAATCAAGTCTAAATGATTACCAAGTATAGTCGTCCATATGAAGATATAAATCAGATGGTCGTTGTCTGTTATTAATATCTGTACGCCTCGGGTGACAGGCAAGATCGTTAGTCACAAAGTACGGCCCAGGTTCGATTCCTTGCTGCTAATTATTATTTATGAGAAACTCTTATCTCTAGCCAGCGGCCGTTAGGAAGTGTTGCGGAATGTAGAAGTTTCTTCGAATTCTTCACGATTAATTGGTGCTGACGTGGTTAGTTATTAAATCATTTAAAACATGGTTACGTGCGGAATATCTTTATACAGATAAATAAATATTTATCGCTTCGAATCTATGAAGGTTTCTACGCAAAAAAATATATAAAGTATTTTTTTTAATAATCCAATAATATTTTTGACAAATTTTACCGCAAGCTCCACCGCCAGCCATGTAATATTTTATCGAACAAGTATTAACACTAAATTATTTTTCTTCGTGACATTTCTACATAATATTTTGGCAGATTAAAAGTATTAGGTAGCGGCAACAGTTATTAATATTATTTATATTAGTGGTAATCTCTTACACCTACATGGTGTTCGAAATTTGAATAAGTTGTTAGTAGGTTTTTATCCTGCTCGTTGGTCGAGCAACCGACAAGTGCGGCTGCTGGGCAAGAGGTCTCGGGTTCGATTCCCGGGTCGGTACAGTGGCATTGTGGCAAGTGCCGTAAGGCCTCATATTGTTATCTATTCTTATGTAGATTTTTACTAACGGTGAATATTTTTTAAATGTATTAAACTCAGTATGTCATTAATTTTAGAGGTAGGTAGATAGTTAGCTATCTACTTACCTCTATTAGTTCAGTATTTGAAAAATAATTTACTAACAAACACCAAGTTGCTACAAAAAGTAAAATAAAAATGTTACAAAAAGAAAACTAACACAGTTATGAAACGAATTCAAACATTACCATAGCATAATAATTACATTTAATCCTTCATTGTTGGCCACACCTCGCTGGCTGAATACCGCATTTCCTTGGTCACAATGTAAGCAAATTAAATAAATTTTATCACCTGGTCACATCAACTGTATTTGCTGTAAATATTTTTGGCAGCCATTTGACTTCCAATTAAAAGTAATTCCCTTCATTATTGTATACGTTTGTGTAATAATATAATTGTTTTCAACACAATTTTGTACCCACTTGTGTTCATTTTATTAATTTATTTTGTTCATTTCATTTTGTGCTTAAGAATGGCAAAGTGACGATTTAATGGCAACAGTTATTTTATTTTATGAAGGTTTATGAAGGTTTTTATTCGTTTCTCAACGTGGCGGTTATTTTTAGAAATCCTAACTTGTATTTTGTAGTCATTCAGATATTTTTACCCAAGTTATCAATATATAAAAGTTTAAATTTCGTTTCGTATCCAAAGTGGGCAGTTTAAAAATATCATGTTGTGTTTTAGTCTTTTTTATAAGACCCCTTAATTTCAAGTCCGGTTTTATTGGAAACAAAATTCGTGCATTACACCTACAAGCCAAAAACAGTATTGGAAAACAAAAAAATAATGCAGTTCTGACATTCAAAAGTTCTCATGTAAAAAGGTTGAATGTAATTTTATGAACTTTTGATTTTGTTGTAATTTGCTGCAAGATGACTCAATGTTACAAATTACCTACACCAATAACTGCAGGTTAATTATCCCAATCGTTATAATATTTTATGTTTTGATTAGTAATTGGTAAATCCCCAAAACGGTTCCTTAATTGGAAAAATACCTATTCTATAAAGGTAGGTTAATACAGTAACAAATAACAGTAAAGTAGATATCTGCCTACGCTCTTGGACCATCCTTTTTAGTATACGACTGTTTATATGAATGACATTTCAAAAATAATGCAGTAACTACAGTCACAACATTGTTTCTCGCCCACACACCTAAATAAACGTTCACAAATGACAGCACGAATTCATATGGTCGCAATATGTTTGTTTAACGAGTTGCATTACTTCGTCTCCCAATAATATTCAACATCTGTAACGTATTTGATTCTTGTAAGCTCTTCCCGAGTCAAAATCCATGATATAAAATTCGAATGAAACAAGACACCGACATGTTTGTCGGCCATCTTTTTTTTCTGTCAAACTTTTGGCGGGATAAATCTTGTTTATGTCTATGACCTTTCATTGTATAAAAAAGTGGTTTTTAGTCATAAATCGCTGGATTACTGAAATAAACGTAATAAAATCAGCCATTCATAGACATGTTGTGTAAAATATCGATGGTCATAATGATCAGAATAATCGATTTATATTTTTAAATTACATACATCAATAAACTTAAACAGTCGATTGTCTTTCGGCTTTTATAAATTGTTCGGAGAACTCCCACAGCCATTTTTAAATCATATAACCTTTTTTGTTGGAAATCTCAATGTTTTGAGTCTACACTTTGTGAAATATAAATTTTATTAATCCATAATAATTTTTTGTGCATTTTTCACGCTTGCGAACATGCATGAACTCTAAAACGTTTAATAAATGGATAAATTATGATAGGGAGGTCTATTAAATTAATTATTTAATACTTTAATGTAACGAGGCTATCAATCTTAACAGATACAATTTTTTGTTCCAAAAAAAACATGGACAAGGTTATGAAGATAAATGTCTCAGTAATTTCTGTTGCTCGTATTAATATAATTACTTATTTTTTAAGCCTTTCGCAGCAGACAACTTTTAAATGGGGTACCTAAATCCATCCTATTCTAGTCTGATGATGATGAACCTAGACTCATAAATGAATGCCAATAATCAACTTTTTAGTACAAAAATTTTCTTATCCATAAAAATAAGTTATTTACTTTAATAATAGTTAATTAAGGATTATTTTTAGATACTGTACAATGTGACTGTAATATGGATACAGGCAGTTGCGTGCTTCTACTTACGACTCCATTGGAACGATG